TCGTCACACCTCCCACCTCGGCTCACGCCCCCTGCCGTGGGTTGCCCCGGCCTGCGCCGGCCGGGCCCCGCGGCCCGCGGCGCACCAGCCATCCTCCTCCGGTCGTCTAGTCCTCACTTTCCCCAGTCTCACCACTCGTGTTAGCTAGGGGACTCCGGACGGCCCCGCCTGCGATCAGGCGCTGCGGTAGACAGCCCTGCAGTCTAGGGAGAGGACTAGAAGGACCTCGGCCGCGCGGCCAAGGGGGGGCGTGGTTGTCTGTAACTACGGGTGGCGGGGAGCTGCGGAGATCTCCAGTCCACAGTGACTTGGAATAGCACGAGCCGCTCGGGACGGGGCCTCACATGCTCTCGTTTTCCCTTCTGGATTCATGATCACTGTGGCTACCTAGAACCCGGGTCAGGCGTCGCCCTCCCTCCGGGCAGGCCATGGAGTGGTGCATGCCGGGACTCGTAGTTCTCATCTGTGAGGCGTGTTATTTGGGTCAAGTGAAGAGTGAAGTTTAAACCTGAGGCAGTCAAAAGCAACAGATGAGGACCCCGAACGGAAAGGCGCAGCGCTCTTTGCTCTCGAATTGGTCAAAGGGCGTGATCGATGCAGTTACCTTTCCTTATGCAAACCTGAAAGTTGGTCGGAAGAGATTAAACCAGGCAATTCTTAATTTTACGCCTGCGGAGTGGGCGCTTAGTTCAGGGTTTTGTCGGGTTTTTTTTTCTGGCATAACCTAAGACACCTATAAGTCATGGGGCTTCATTCTCGCAGTCTTTAAGTGGACAGTGCGCATGCGCTAACTTCCTCTTTTCCGGCTGGAACCATGGAGGGTGCCGAGTAAGTTCTATCTCATCTTCCCCAGAATCCTTCTCCATCCCCGAAACCCGAGGCCTTTATCCTCATTTTTCCCCAAATTGACTGTAGCTAGTGCCTTTGTCCACTTGTCTGTGTGTTTGTGACGCCTTGTGACAGCTGTGGGACTCCAGGCTAGGATGCGAAGCGGCGGCCTTGGTGCTGTGGTTTGGGATCTTCCAGTAGCGAGATGTGAGGGCAGAAAAGCGTGTGGAACCCGACAGTCAGATGGAGTTGAGCCTTCCGTGGAAGGTCTTTGCAGAGACTAGCAAGATGTCTGGGTCGAATTTGGCTGGCTAGCAGTGGGCCTTAATGTTTTTCCCGTCAGGCCAGTGCTTTGGGCATGTGCAGCTTAAGACCTAAACCAGCGTGGTGTCTACTAGACGACAAACGGTCGCCTTTCCGCTAGAAGCGTCATGTGCGAATTTTTAGTGTATCTTGGTATTTTGTGCTAGTCTAAGGGCAAGACTTATGGCTTGATTGGGTGTAAGCTTGTTAATGTCATGCGGGATGGCTAAGGGTGTGTTAAAGTGAAGGTTACTGCCAGATTATATCTGATCAGAGCAAATAAGTTTCAAATAGATACAATGATCCTAGCTGTGTTCAACAATAACTGCTGAAAGTACTCAGTACAAGCACTGGGAGGTTTTAGAGTGAGTAACATGCTTGGTTTGCTAATGACAGAGAGAAGAAAAAGAAGGTTCCTGCTGTGCCAGAAACCCTTAAGAAAAAGCGAAGGAATTTCGCAGAGCTGAAAATAAAGCGCCTGAGAAAGAAATGTGCTCAGAAGATGGTAGGTAAACTTTGGAAGGACAGGGCATTGTGTTTGGTACTGCTGTGGAAGTGAATGTTATCTGAGATTCTTTTACGTGTCAGTATTTGTCAAACAAGTGGGAGGTGCTTCCTAACATAGCATTCTCAAGCTAACATAGGTTGTTACTGCTTGGGGCTGGGAAGGTGGCTCAATGGTAGAGTGCTTGCCTTGCATGCATAAGGCCCTGGGTTGGATTCCGCAGCATCACATAAGCAAAACAAGCCAGAAGTGATAGAGTGCTAGCTTTGAGCTGAAGAGCTGAGGGACAGCACCCAGGCCCAGAGTTCAGGCCCCAAGACCAAAAAAAAAAATGAAATGTTACTGCAGAATGGAGAGAATTACAGGGGAATTACTGCTTTTTTCTCTTTTTTTTTGGAACTGGTATGAGTTGTGTTTGGAACTAGAAAATCATGTATAACTGGTGCTTGGTTTTCAGCTTCGAAAGGCAAGGAGGAAGCTCATCTATGAGAAAGCTAAGCACTATCACAAAGAATACAGGCAAATGTACAGAACTGAGATCCGAATGGCTAGAATGGCCAGAAAAGCGGGCAACTTCTATGTACCTGCAGAACCTAAATTGGCATTTGTCATCAGAATCAGAGGGTAAGTTGTGACTGTTTTTTGCTTTTTTTTAAAGGGAAAGCTACAAATCCCTAGAGAAACTTCTGGGAGTATTGAGTGGAGTAGCAATGCTTTAGATGTAGCTAGAAAGGGTTGGGGGTGCTTTTAAATGTGTTTAATTGGCAGTCCCTAGTCCTGTAACAATCCACTCTTAACTGAGAGGATGGGTCTAAGATTTTTGCTCAGGCCTAAGCCTGCTGCCTAGCTTTGTTGATAGATGCACATTTAACCATTCATGGGTAAGGAGCTAAGATTGCAAGCCTGGTGTCCTTTTTCTAAGGGTTTGGTTTTAAGCTGCATCCACAGCTACCCACTCCTAAATGTCCTGGGAGTTGATTTCAGAAATGGTTATAACAAATATTTCATAAATGTGAGTGATGGTAAGGAAGTTGGGACCTTTTATGTATTCAGCAGACTGAAGGAAAACAGTGGTTTTAGGTCTTTGCAACATACTTCCTGTCTATAAAAATTGATAAAGGCCAGATTAATATTTTTGCTCCCTTTTCAATGCAGTATCAATGGTGTGAGCCCAAAAGTCCGTAAGGTGTTGCAGCTTCTTCGCCTTCGCCAGATCTTCAATGGTACCTTTGTTAAGCTCAATAAGGCTTCAATTAATATGCTGAGGATTGTGGAGCCATATATTGCATGGGGGTGAGTCTCCTTTTTTTCCTTTGGTTCTGTTTATTAAATTATGTAGCAAGATGAATTTCAGGTGCTCTTGACACAATGACTATGTCTGTTTTTTATATTTAAGGTACCCAAACCTGAAGTCAGTAAATGAGCTCATTTACAAGCGTGGTTATGGCAAAATTAATAAGAAGCGAATTGCCTTAACAGATAATGCTTTGATTGCTCGATCTCTTGGTAAGTTGTTTGAGAGTGAGTGATAATTCCTGACTTTTTGAGGCCCTTTGTTTTGCCATTAGGAATCTATGTATTCCTTAAACTCCTTGAGGAAAATACGTTAAAATTCAGTGACAAACTGTAATTTTGAGACTGTGTAATCTTGTATTTTACAGGTAAATATGGCATCATCTGCATGGAGGATCTGATTCATGAGATCTATACTGTTGGGAAACGCTTCAAGGAAGCAAATAACTTCCTGTGGCCCTTCAAGTTATCTTCTCCCCGAGGTGGCATGAAGAAGAAGACCACCCACTTTGTAGAAGGTGGAGATGCTGGCAACAGGGAGGATCAGATCAATAGGCTTATTAGAAGGATGAACTGAGGTGAGGCTGCATGCTAGATAAGTACTAGTAACAGTGTGGTCTTGAATATTTTTTCCATTAGTTAATTGGGGATTTCAGTATCTTTTAATCAGTTTTCACTGGGGAAAAATCTGTCATACGTGATGAGCTTAGTTATTTCCTTTTGAGGACTTTTTGGTTTGGAAGAAACCTCTGTTTATTTAAATGGAAAGTGTGTCCTTCGAATTGCTAGCAATTGGGAATGTGGCTTAGTGGTAGAGTGTTTGCCTGTCATGCATGAAGCCCTGGGTTCAGTTTCCTCAGTGCCACATGAAAAAGGAAGTGGCACTGTGGCTGGGCCTTGAGCAAAGAAGCTCAGGAACAGTGCTTAGGCCCTGAGTTCAAGCCCCAGGACTGGCAAAAAAAATTGCTTGCATTTTATAATTGACTTATGTTCATTTAAACTGCTAGAATTTTTCTTTTAATAATTTTTTTTTCCTTTCAGGTGTCTGCCATGCTATTTTTGTAATTGGCTCTGTTAATAAACAAGTGATGATGGCAAATTAAGATGTTTTGGTGATTCTTTTATTAGCCTGCCTCTACTTCTCCTAACTACTGGTAAATCTTAATGTCCAAATAATTTAAGTTGTTGAAAATCCCGTATTTCAGACTTTGACTTTGCCTGCAAACTATCATGGATTATGTTATTTTTCTCATATATGCTATGGATGTAAGGCAGTAAGAAATGAAAGTTATACCTGTGAATGAAAGTTATTTCAGAGTATCTTACTCATTTGTGAACTTACTAAAAAGTGGATATTGTTGCAAGTAATATGAAGTTCATGGAGTAAAAGGCATTTTTACAGTCTTTTTTGATAATGCCAAGGATCTGATGAAATGGGAAATAAATACCTTGTTAGATTTCTTTTTGGTACTGTTTTATCATAGTTGCTCCATAAATTGGGTGTTTCTACTTAAAGGTATTAGAAATTTCTTGAAATTCTGTTTTCAGAAAGCTATTTCTCTTAAGTTTCTTTAGGGTCAGTGAGTTCTTGCTCATCTATGAGCAAGCCCATATTTGGCCAGAAATTTATTATCTTGTAAATTCTAGGTGTAGCCAGAGTTCTACATTGTGAACCTGTGTATATCCATTGTTAGAAGATAGCTGTGTACCTAGTTGGCTTCAAGGATGTATGTGTGTGTTGTACTATAAACTGAATTTAGTACCTAGGCAAATAGTACCATTTGAGTCATGCCCTTAATTCTTAAGGTGCACAGCAATAGTATAGGGTTTTCATATATCCATGTCCACACGACTCTTAATGCTGTCGACTCCCTGCCAATAGCAAAGTAATAGTTTGTGAAAGTATAGTTTTTTGAGCTGAGGTATAGAGAGATTTAAGGAATGCTGGGATGCAGAAATGGCTACTCGTTGTACCTGTATGCAGACATATCTGCTTTTAGTTCTAGAGATAAGTTACTTTGCATGGGAGTGGGGCAAAGGATCAGATGTGGGAGGAATCTGGTCATGGAGAGCTGAAGCTCTTACAGGCACATTTCAGAGTGGAAGTAAGTAGGGGGAAACAGCTGAAGCCATTAATTGACTGACTGCAGAGGAAAATGAGGCCATCTTGTATGCAAGGGTGGAAGTGGTGTGAATGTTCTACCTGGTGACTTCAGATCCAATGCAAGTTGACACCTGTTTAACTTAATGCCAAACTTCTAAATATGCCATTACTTTGAAACAAAGTTCCACCAGAAGACTCAACTGGTACATAAACTAGGGATCTCTAATAGGTTCAAAAATAGTTCATTAAAATAATTTCCATACTTTTGGCAGTTCTGGGTTTTGAACCCAGGGTCTTGTAGTTGCTAGACAAACCCTCTACCAGACTTGGTCCCCTGCCTCTTGACCTTATTTCTACTTGTGCCCTTTCAGAATTCTAACATTCTAATTCTTTCCCTGCCTATTATATTACCTAGTGTTGGAGAGTTCATTAGTGGGTTGAGTGCTAGTTTTAGACTGATTGGATTTGTAACCTGTTACCTGTGAGGTTGGAGCTAAGTCATCAGACATATCCAGTTATAGAACCAGAAGTGGAGTTGTGGCTCAAATGGTAGAATACTAACCTTAAGCAGAAGAACTTAGGCCATGAGTTCAAGCTCCATAACCAACAAAATTGGAAATAATAAATCCTCTATTAACATTTCTAAAAGATATGAGTGAGGAAATCAAGGTGTCAGCAGCAGTACTATTTCTAAAGAAATACTTGGCTCATATCCTGGTCTTCAAAATTCCATCTGTATTTGGATGCTTACATCTTTTTCTAGGCTTACTGCCTGACTCTTGTAGTGACCTTTTGGTGACATTGAGCTTCCGTGATAATCTCCCCATTAGAATCCTTAGTTTAAGTACATCTACAAAGTTTCTTTTATTTCTCCATGTTTAACACCATGTTTACAGAATTTAGGGCATGGAAGAACTGTTTGACCTGGAAAAAGTTCTTCCTGACACTTCTTCGTATAATACGCTGTTTTTATTGCCTGAGTGATTTTTTTTTCCCTACTGCTTTTCCCAGCTACTCCCCAATATGACTTGATTTTGAACTTTTCCAAACTCTTAACTCTGTGGTAGCTGGGTACCAGTGGCTCCCAACTAATCATAACTACTCAGGCTAATCATAGTTGGGAGCCAACTCAGGTAGACAAATCTATGTGATTCTTTTTTTTTTTTTTTGCCGGTCGTGGACCTGAACTCTGGGCCTGGGCACTGTCCCTCAGCTTTTCAGCTCAAGGCTAGCGCTCTACCGCTTGAGCCACAGCGCCACTTGCGGCTTTTTCTGTTTATGTGGTGCTGAGGAATCGAACCCAGGGCCTCAGGCATGCAAGGCAAGCGCTCTACCACTGAGCCACCTTCCCAGCCCCTCTATGTGATTCTTAACCTCCATTTAACCAGCAAAAGTGTGGGTGTGTGACTCAAGTGGTAGAACACCAGCCTTGAGCAGAAAAACGTGGTAAGATTTCAAGGCCCTAACTTAAAGCCCCAGTTACTGGTACCAGAATGCTTGGTGCATTATAGCACTTTACACTTGATTAGCATTTAGTCTTCATTTGCTGGCACGTTGTCATTGGGCATTTGGTGATGGAGGACAGTATGAGTAGTAGTGGGGCATGAGTAGGTTTATGGGTCCGTGTAAGAGTGTAACGGGTTGGGGATCTAGCTGAGTGCAAGGCCCTGAGCTGTCAGCTCTGCCAAAATATAAGATTGGAACACTAAGTTTTAAAGCTGCACGCTATTAGGTTTAATGACGTAGTAGGATATGTTATGAATACAGTTTATGCTGTGTAGATGGAGATTCCACAAAGGAAAGCTGTGATTACTACTTTTAAAGATGATCAACAAGCACCACCACCACCATGTATTTTTGGTTAATTGCTTAAATAATCTACCTGCCTCTTAATGGAGGTACTGCATATCCTTTACCTTTCATGTACAATCCACTTTTTTTATGAGGTAAAACTTTCGGCCAGGAGAACAATAATCCCGTGTGTGTGTGTGTGTGTGTGTGTGTGTGTGTGTGTGTGTGTGTGATCCCGTGTGTGTGTGTGTGTGTGTGTGTGTGTGTGTGTGTGTGTGTGTGTGGTTCCCCTGGGTGTGTGGGAGCGTGCGCGCCAGGCCTGGCCTGATCTCCTGGTCTTGGTGCTGTCCCTGGGTGGGAGCGTGCGCACCAGGCCTGGCCTGATCTCCTGGTCTTGGTGCTGTCCCTGAGCCCCTTGGTGCTCAAGGTTATCTCTCTGTCCTATCACTTGAGCCACAGATTGCATGGCCTTTCAGATCTCAGATTCCTGAGTATCTAGGATTACAGGTGTAAGCCACCAGAGCCTGATTAAAAATTTCTATTATTTGAGGTTGAAATTAAGACATTGTTTCTTTTGAGTTAGTTCACTGTCATTTCTTCTAGCATTTATGTAATAAATTTTAAGAAAACATTAGGCCCACTCTTGAATTTCATTGTGTCCAGAGGCTGATATTATGGACTAGATTTTCTATGGTCTGTTCCCTTGGTTTTGCTCTGGTTTGAAAGTTTGCGATAATGTTCAAACTTAATTCCCAATGCAATGATAGTGAAGGGTGATTATGTTTAGAAATTATCCTTGTGGAGAGAATCAGTGCCTACATAGGTTTGTAGGTAAATAGGCCCCTTTGCCCTTCTGCCAAGTAACAACACAAGATTGGGGCTCTCACCAAACACTTGCCTTTACCTTCATTGTGGACTCCGCAGAAAGTATAGCTGTAAATCAGTTTGTTTCTTAAAAACAGGTGCATGAGGGAGCGGGGTGGGGGGGAGGACAAATGGAGGGAGGGACAGAGGGTGAACAAATGTAGTGGTACTAGACACTGTTGAGAATGAACTATGCGACTTTTGGGTTGGGACGGAAGGGAAAAGCTGGGAGAGCCAAGAAAGGGGTGACATTGTCCAAAAAAAATTGTACTCATTACCTGACAATGTAACTAATCTGTATAATTTGAAAAAAGTAGCTTGGATACCTAGTAACAATAATTTGAGAAAATACAGCATAAAAAGTATCAAGGTAGGGTGGGCTAATAACTTCTATAATGTAATGTTAGCTACTCTGGAAGCTGAGATCTGAGGGTTTCCATTCAGAACCAGCCTGGGCACTGTCCCTGAGCTCTTTGGCTCAAGGCAAGCACTCTACTACTTGAGCTACAGTGCCACTTCTGAGATTCTTTTATCTCCAAATAACCACGGACACGCACAAAGCGAAATGTAGAGATGTGGCTCAAGTGGTAGAATATCAGCAAAAAGGCTCAGTACCCAGGCCTTGAGTTCAAACTCCAGAACCTGGTCGACCCCCACCCACACCACTCACACATTGAGCTCTGCTGGTGGCTCAAGCCTATAATCCTAGCTTACTTAGGAAGTTGTGGCAGTATTGTGGTTTCAAGCCAGCCAGAGCAGAAAAATCCCTGTGGGCTCTTTTTTCCCCTGGGGGTGGGGTGGGGAGGGGAGGGAGGCATCTGTTTTGGGACTTCAATTTGGCCTGGGCATTCTGCCTGAGCTCTTTTGCTCAAGGCTAGCCCTCTACCACTGTAAGCAACTGTTCTTCCTGTTTTCTGGAGCTGGATTGGAGATAAGGGTCTCCTTGATTTTTCTGTCCAGGCTGGCTTTGAACTGTGAGCCTCAGATCTCTGCCTTCTGAATGGCTAGGATTATAGGAATGAGCCACCAGCATGCAGCCTGAGAGACTATCCTCAATTAACCACTCAAAAACTGGAAAAGGAGCTGTGGCTAAAGTGATAAACACTAGCCTTGAACAAAAGAGCTAAGGAACAGCACCCAGGAGTCATGACTGGGTTCAAGCCCCCAACTGACAAAAAGTATCAATAGGAGTGTTGTAGTAAAGAAGATATGAAAGATTTAAGAGGGGCTACAAATGTGGATTAATGGCAGAGTGCTTGTTTAGCATGCACAAAGCCCTGAGTTCGATTCCCTCAGTATCACATAAACAGAAAAGGCCAGAAGTGGTATGTTGGCTCAGGTGGT